TATGACACATCCAGAAGGTTTTTTTGATCCAAGCAACGCTGGAAAGGTATGCAAGCTTAAGAAGTCCATTTATGGACTAAAGCAGGCAAGCAGAAATTAGAATCTGCGATTTGATGAAGCCATCATCAAGTTTGGTTTTTTCAAGAATCCAGATGAATCTTGTGTATACAAGAAGGTCAGTGGGAGTGACATCGCATTCCTAGTCCTATATGTCGATGACATACTGCTCATTGGAACAACACAAAATTACTAGAGTCCGTAAAGGGTTGGTTGGGAAAGTGCTTTTCAATGAAGGACTTAGGAGAGGCACAGTACATATTGGACATCAAGATCTACAGGGATAGATCTAAGAGGATGATTGGATTGAGCCAGAGTACTTACATTGAGAATGCCAAGAGAGGGCATTTACCCATGTCCCATGGCGTAACTCTCAGCAAGAAACAGTGTCCACAGACACCTGTTGAGCGAGAGAGAATGAATCAGATCCCATATGCTTCGCTAATTGGATCGATCATGTATGCCATGATATGTACCATGCCAGATGTATCGTATGCCTTAAGCGCTACGAGCCGATACCAATCAAACTCAGGAGAGGCGCATTGGACTGCGGCCAAGAATATCCTGAAGTACCTGAAAAGGAATAAGGATAAATTCATGGTCTATGGTGGCCACAAAGACCTGGTTGTTGAAGTTTACACCGACGCTAGCTTCCAGACTAACAGAGACGACTTCAAGTCACAGTCAGGGTACATATTTTGCCTAAATGGAGGAGCGTTTAGCTGGAAGAGTGCCAAGCAGAGCACCACTGCAGACTCTACAACTGAAGCCGAATACTTGGCTGCTTCAGAAGCCGCTAAGGAGGCTGTTTGGATTCGCAAGTTCGTCAAAGAGCTTGGTGTTGTACCCTCCTTCAAGGGTCCAATAGATCTCTACTGTGACAACAATGGAGTTATCGCTCAGGCCAGGGAGCTAAGAGAACACCAGAAGGTCAAACATGTCCAAAGGCGATTTCACATGATAAGGGAATGGAAATCCAAAGGTGAAATCAGAACTTGCAAGATCGGCACGGATGATAATGTGGCTAATCCTTTTACTAAACCTCTGCCTCAAGTGAAACACAACAAGCACATTGAGCCAATGGGAATCAAGCACGTCGGAGACTGGCTTTGAAATTCCCCGTACATGTGTTTAAATTAAACTAGATGTTTTAATGTAAGACACTGTATTGAAACCATTCATTTGTGGAGATGCAAAATTACTATTCACTCCATTGCTATTTAATTGTGGTTTAGAATTAAATAATGAGTCCATTCGATTTATGAAAATATTCAAAACAGGGTATCAAGACCATGTCTTGGATAAAGAAACACCTGTTAAGTGAACACTGAATATTTAAATCGAAAATTGTCCCTAATCGAGGTCATCTAACTGATGGAAGATTGATGACCACCAGAGATTAGTGTGTAGTATGATTTACAGCATCGTTTCTTGTGCTGCAAGGACATGATGGTCATAAATCATTTGCACAGGTGCCAGTTTGGAACTGCACTGGATAGACCTATGAGAGTACTTTAAGAGATTCAAAATTGCCATAAGTACATTTCTCATTATAGCTATCGGAACTCGTTTCCTTGACCATGAGTATTGTGAAGTTTTCTTGTTTGAGTACTAGTCTCTTTGATGTTGCCTAACGTCTACCGTAACTAGGGATCATAACGGGAACACTCAGGAGATTAGGTCCTCTTAGTAAGAGAAACATACAGTACAAGACTGGGAATGTCCCCCAACAATAGGGAATATGTCTTTGTTGTTTACAAGGCCGCTCGAAGAGCGAGACTGTGAAAATGCATGGCCGTGCTCAGATGGATTTTAGAAATCATCTGCTTATTGACAGTCAAACTCGGAGATCGAGAAACACTTCTGAACCTAATAAGGATGACGATGAATCTTACCTTATAGTTAACGAAAAGACATTAAGCGACATAGGAAATGGGCTATACACTGTATACACACTTGTCCGGAAGGACAAGTGGGAGATTGAAAGGAATGTGTCCTTCCAACAAGTGTATTATTCTGATAGAGGGTTTAAAATTATTACAGAACTTATTCTTCAGTAAGGTCAACTAATTCAATATTGTTGAATTCACTACTCTAAAAGCCTTGACTGCAAGAGGTTGATCATCAGAACTTTAGATTAAAAATCAAAGTATACAACATATAATATGCTTATTTATGGATACAAATCTATTGTGAAGGATTTACTTTGACAACTACTATGTCTACTCGAATTATCCACGAACCAGAAGGAACAAGAGCATATATGCTTCGCGAGTGGTAGTTCTTTTACACTTTTCACATTACATTGTTAAATAGTAATTGTATGCACACTGGATACTAAGTCATCCTTTTCTTTAAATGCAGGATCAAGTTATACCCACAAGTATTACAGGATAGGCAAGCAAGTGTCTTGAATATCAGATATCCAAGTGCTGAGAAAACAATCAACAATATAGCAGATTTAAGGAACAAAAAGGTTACTTTCCTTCAAACTATATAATCAGCTACTGCTATTAATCTAACATTTATATCGTGCTGCAAATATTATTGTACCTTACTAACCAAGATTAATACTTAAACACATTTACAGCCCAGAAATGTTAAGCAAGAAGAAACATTCTGGATCAAAGTGACTATTCCAGAACCTGACCTGGGTAAAGTTTATGCATATGCTGGCTGTGTCAATTGCAGTAAACGAACTAATCTTTGTATAGGCACTCCTTTTCCTTGTGCTTCTTGCAGGAAAGGAGACAGTTACTCTACTTATAGGTAATAGGCCTAACCTCTAATCCATTTTAGTTGTAGTCTTTAACTTGCTTATCCATTAATTTTATCTCCCAAAATCAGAGTAACTTTCAAGTTTGAAGAAAAAGATGACACTGGTACAATGACATTCACTTCTTTCAACAACGACACATAAAGACTCTTCAAAAAGCCAGCAATTGAAATAAGCAGCATTAAGAACACTGTAAGAATTCATCAATTAACTAAATTTTATAATTACTTTTGCATATTGATTTGCCTTTACCATAACTTATTTTCAATTAGCTACATTAGCTTTCATTTTAGATTATAAATAAGTTAACTGCAAATATTTTGGCACTTAAATACCTTTATAATCCATTACATATAGGAAAACTTAATTGCTTTTAGAAAGATAGTAGCACTCATTTTAACAAAACCTTTCTTCATTAAAGTGGGCCCGACAAATGAACTGTCATCAAACAATGTGCTCATGTGGATTTTGAAAGCAATTGAAGTTGAAGATGAATCTGCACAACCTACAACTACACATACAATATTTGCTATTCATTCCACAAATGAAGAAGCAGCCTCAATTGAAAATCTGGAAAAAGTTCAACATGAACTTAATTTGGAAGTAAAAGCTCATGGTAAGCAACCTTTGCTCACTAAGTATGAAACAATTCCTGGTTTCAGCCAAGATCCTGATGCAATTGATGATGTCGCATTTGCTGAGCTTGTTCAAATTGAACAGTACACCAAGACTGCTAATAACCCAGTACCACAACAACTGATGTTCAAGCCCCTTTAGATCAAGGAACCAGAAAGCTTTGAACCAACTGGTTCAATGAGAATATTTCCAACATGGGCACAGCATTCTCGTAAATGAAGCATCAGCAAGGACAAAGCACCCATTGACACTACTTCAGAACTAACTTCTGCACCTATGGAACATGATCCTAGGAAGAAGGCAAAGCTAGTTGTTCCTATTCAAGCTGATAAGAAAGAATCCACTAGAGAAGAAGTTTCACCTACTAGCACTTTTGACAAAGAATGAACTCCAAGGAAGCCTACATTGTACATAGGCAGTATCTTTTGCTTACCCTAATGACCCGATCTCAATAGTAAGTATGATCCAGCAGTTTCTAATCTAAATATTGTCTTACTTATTAAAAGTCATAAATCTTTTGGGTGTTTAAAAGGAACATAGGCCATAAAAGGTTTTCCATATAAACACCAATATTGTATATAGCAATGCTGATATGCATGGTAGTATGTAATGCTAAGCTTAAATGCAGCTAAATTAGTATTTTGAGCACAAAGTAAAAAGATAGTCTAGCGTAGCAACTATCTAATGTACATAGCACTAATGGCATATATTGCCTTAGTATGAAATCTGAACTCCTGTACTAAATCGTTATTTCAGACTACAATGATATATAAAATAAGTTTATTATGGTACTTACTTGCTTTTTCATTAGTTTGTCATTATTACTTATACGCTTCAAACACTTTCAGACAACATTATACTAGCAGATTTTATTGTAACTTCCTATTATTAACACAACTTTACATAGGACAAGTAACACATCACAATACTTAATAACTAACACATATATTATAAACATAATAAATACATAAGACACATAGATATTAGTACAATATTAGACCATAAAGTTTAGATACAAAACTTAGTAGGGTACCGTAATAAGATTATAATTCATTTTTATTGTTCTCTCCAAGATACAATATTATAGCTTGGAAGACTAAGATTATGATTCATTTTTATCACAAAATAAGATGATGAAAAACTACACTGCCAAGACTTCATATACAAATCAACTACTACATATCACTATATATAACCAACACCTATACCTTTTATATATACAATTTGTACATTCATACTTTATGTCATTTCCTTGTAAGGAATCTTACTTACAAACCACTAAGCTTTCTTTCACAAAGTATCCTAATAAAATCAACATTACTAAAAGCATATGGTAAACCTGCTCAAAAAATAAAACTTTAGACAAGGCATAAGATTTATACAAGCAATGAACTCAGAAATTGCATTCCATCAGAATTTGTAAGAAATTCTAATCTAACAACACAAGATTCCAATTCCATTGTCCATGGTCTAATGTCTAGAAACAAGAAACCTTGACTTCAACCAGATCATATGTGAACCAATTGATTTCTTAGTTATCAGCATCATCATCATCATCATTAACAGTTAACACTTGAATATGAAAAACTCCCTGACCAACATAACGCACACTCAAAATATCACCATGATCAACATGACTGTCAGCCACAAAGTTCTCCTAACCAGAATACATGAATAGACCATGTGTCTCACTAATATTAGCACCGAGCAATTCCACATTCCACGCTGGCCCTCCAGGACCACGTTGAACTCGAACAGGAGCCGAAAAAGCAGAAACAAAAGACTTCCAATGATTAGGAAGAGGCTACATGCACAAGGAAAACACACATGCACAAAATCAAAATTAGTCTCTCTACACACATATGGATACACAAATACAAAGACAAACACACATACACAAATACGCAAGTTAAAAACAATACCAGAGCAGATCTATGGTAATTCTTATATTGAATTATGCAACTTGGAATAGTAGTACTCATCTTTGCACCACCTCCAAAAGAAAGTTTTGAACCTGAACAATATAGATCAAAATAATCTACTGCTATTTTTATATACATTTTAACATTATGAAAGCTTTTACCTTTTAAATGTACAAGTACATCTCCCACTAAAAAATTTCTAAAAAATAATGATGCATAAAACAACTTCTTGTATAACTTCGAAATGACAAATCATATTACTACACCACCAAGAACTGAAACACTTTAAGCTTATGGAATATCTACCACAAACAGAAAAATTCTTATCTATTTCAACAGATGAGACAACAATATATACTGAACAAATCACTCTATAAAATCTGCATTGCACCAGAATTGGTACTACAACCAGCCCTAGACATAAACAAAATACCAAAATACTTTTCAAAGTACTAAAAATATCTAACTATTCTAGATTCTATTCAGATACTTGCAAGAACAATTCTAAATGTAATAATGTCCAATTGTGACATTTAGTAATCTTCCCATATCCTAAGCTGTCCATATAGTTCTATTCTCATTTCAATATGTTAGCCTAACACATATATATTAGTCTTCTCAATAGTGATATCCCATGGCACTCCATCTATGCCACAGAAAATCCTGAATTTCTTGGAAAAAGATACAAAAACAATTAATAAGTACTACATAAAATAACTTAAATGACTTTAAAAGTATATAACAAAGGAAGACACATACTGCAAAAGTCTCATGCTCTTCCTCAACCTTTAATATCCACTTCATCAAAGCATTATCACTAGCCTAACAAAACAATAAACCAACCATATTACTACAAAATACGATGTAGTTATAAAAAAAGGAATAGTAACTTTTGTTGCTTGGTTTAAAATAGCTACCATTCTTTAAATGCTAATTGTCTAAATGTAGCAATCCACACTATCCCTTGCAACAAGTATAAAACTCATCTTTTATAGAAAAATTCTATAAGAAAAAAAAAGAACACACAACTACCACAACCAAGAATCAAACTTCATTTAGTTCACTTAACAAAAACCTACAACAACCTGTTACAAAAGCAAGCAAATTACCATAACATTTCACATTCATATCAAGTAAAAAAAATATAGCTTGCCAACAACAAATAATTTAATTAGAAACTTAAACAGATTGTTTATCTAAACCACTAAACGATCAAGCCTTACTAGAATAGATTACATAACTAATTATAAACAAACCCAACCTAATCCCAACTCTAGGCTAGATACATAACGAATTCTTCTAACAAATGTGATCAAAGTTCCTAGGAGTGCGCCGGTAAACATCTGAATTAGTCGAAGACTCTGACCCGCGATTGTCATCATCACCCATAAACTCATCTCCACCATCAGAGCCAGAAGACCAGTGCCCTCCATCATCATCTTCAACCTCCTCCTCAAATCCATTTTCATCAGCTTCACCCCCGTCCTCATCCCCATTGTCATCATCTTCATCTTCAAAATCTTCATCATCCTCATCATCAACATTCCCCTCTTCTACAACCTCTTCATCATCACCATTCTCCCCTTCTACATCATCACTGTCACCCCCCTCTTCATTTAATTCCTCCATCTCAGCATCAACACCGCCAACCTCATTCTGTTCTACAGGACCTCCTCCAACACCACCATCATCCCTCTATTCTACATGACCTCCTCGAACACCAACATTCCTAGCCACAGCACTACCCCTGTCCTCTTCAATAATCCTCTCAACAAGTTGCACATTTTCAACGGGCGGCCCATTTTCGCCATAACATGCTAAAGTCCTTCTACGGATTTCACCAACTTGCCCATAAAGCTCTGCAATTCGCTGCTCCCGAAGCCGCTGCAACTGGGCCGACAAAACCTTCACTTCTTGTAGCTTTGCCGTATGTGCCGCTCTAATGTTAGCCAATTATTCTCTCTTAACCTTCTCTTGCGCTCTAATTTCAGCAATTTAGTGTACAACACTTCAAGTTGCGCTTTCAACTCACTCACTTCCCTATTTTTAGCCATGGTTTCGGTTATAGAAGGAAGAAGAGGAAAAAATTTCAAAGAAAGGAGAAACAAAAAACCTGCTTAAGGAAACTAAAAGGGTTTAAAAAGAAAACTTTAAAGAGAATTGAAAAGTCTGTAAAACACAACAAACAAAGAAATGTTAGAAAGAGAAATGAAAAGCCACAATTTTAATCCATCAATCATGCATCCTTCACAACTCTCTCTGCCGCCAATTTCATTTTGCTTGCACAAAAAACAACAAAAAATAAATTTCTAAAAATTTTACAAAAGTTATACTACTTACCTTCCCATATTAGCTATGTCATCAAATATCCAAACACAAAACATACGTAACAAATACGTAATCAATTTCAGACAATAAAGTGTTTTATGAAAAAACTTAGACAATCTCATTGTTGAAATTTAGAGAAATTAAAATAGGTTTAATTTCGCGGAAAAAAAAAAAAAAAAAAAGAAGAAGAAAGAGAGAGAGAGAGATTTTGACAAAGATTTATAACTTGAAATGATTTAATTTTGAACCAAAAACAATAGTATTAATTTAAGTCAAATTTAAAATTAACAATACAATCACTTTCATTTAACTTACACAAATTCGTATCTAACAAAAAACACATAAACTCCCTAGACCATATGCATCTGAAACAAGTACAAATAAACATAATTATCCTATATACCGAAGAAGAAACACTGGGGAAAATGTCACTATTCGTGGTGCACAGCTAATCAACCAATGGGTGATTCCTTACAATCCTTATTTTTCTATGTTGTTTGATTGTCATATTAACGTCAAAGCTTGCTCTACAATCAAGGCAGTAAAATATCTCTATAAATATGTTTACAAGGGACATGACAAGATTTCTTATAATGTTCTCCCTACTGATGATAATTCTATAGATGAAATTAATGAAGTGACATCATATTATATTTTATATATAGTTAAAATTAATGAATTAATCAACCAATTAAATTATCATACCATCGAGGGGGCGCGCACATCGCACACGCTCCAACGACTAATCATTAAAATGTCATTAGTGGGAAAGTATTTATTAACTTCAGTATACCGCATTCGGTGATTTAGTATTATGCATCTTGAAATTGATGGTCTTGAATTACCTTACATCAACAATGTATATGTCACAATAATCTTCATAATAATCTGTATATTGGCAGGATAAGTACATTTTTGTAAGGTTAGGAGATGTAGCATTATAATCTATTATATTTGACAATATATGAAGAAATTAGCATCTTGATCAAATTTTGTAAGGAATTATCATATTACTTTTCTAATTAATTTATTATTATGTCGTTTTGATCTGTATGCATATGAAGATTATATTTTGTGATTAATTTATTATGGAAAAATAATCATTGTAAAGGTAGAATTGTTGTTGAGATCTAAATTATTAATCATAAAATCCAACTATTTTTCCCCTATTTTAATATGATTTACTTAATATGATTTTTGGTTTATAAAGGAATTAATTGCTCACTATCCATGTATGTGCTTGTATTTAACTATTTAATTTGAAATATGCAAGTAGATTAGATAATTAAACATTTTATCTGGAACCTTATTGATATTAGTAAAGGATATACAATTTTGATATTTTTTTGCATTGGAAAACATGATGTTAGATTAAAACTAGAATATTTTGCTATGATATAAAAATCATGTATTATATTTGGATTGATTAAAATGAGGTGATATTAGTTTTCAAAGTTTGTTAAAAAATAACTATTATATTTGTTATGGAGTATATATGTTGTGTTACAAATGTAACCATTAAGCCTACCTTTGATTAAATTAAGTGATTATACCATATTTATACTTCTTTTGGCAGAAGAGCGTTTCATTGTATACTACTATACTAGTCAAAGAATGTAGAGAATTACCAAATAACACTGTTAGATTATATTATTGGAAAGAGTCATAATTAGATATGAAAAATTGATATATACGGGCCTGAAGTTCCTCACAATGGTAAAGGAAAATTTATGTTATTTCCTATCGAGTAATAAAAGAAGGAAATGACTAAGAAAATTAAATTAGTTTCTAAAATATGTTGATAAGACGCTCCCCTTCCATGGAATTCATATGGTATTGTAGACATGATATAATGAAAATAATGTTAATTAAGAAAGGTTATGTTGAATAGTTAATGTACTTTATCTAGTAGTGAAGGAACAAATTACTAAAGTATGGGTAAACACAACATATATGTATGTTAAATCACAACCAACGAGATATACTCATTCCTAGAATTGAATGTGAGATTGTTTGATGAAAGGATAACAAGTATGTTTGTATGATAAATCTAAATGAGAAAGGAAGACTGACTTATGAGATTAAGAAATTAAACTGACTATGATAGTCTATGACATAATAATAACTTAACTTGGTTAATCTATTTGTTACATCAATGCTTATAAGAGATTCCAATTTAATGATTGATACAATTGAGCATGAGGAACATGATCAAGATTTCTATAAGAAATATTATATCTAAGCATATTTACGTATACACATTGTTATAGTTAAATATTAAAGTATGTGCCTATAAATACTTTGATTGAGACATGACATTGTCAAGTGACTAAAAGACTTAAAAGGCTTGCATTTTGAACGGTTGTTGAATTTTTCATACCCCATATGCAAGGTTTAGGGGGAGATTAGATTTATTTTATGTAATCCTTGCATGGTCCTTAATTAATATAATATATTGAGGATTAATTTGATACACACTTTAGTTTAAATGTCGATGCAAGAAATGATTAAAAATATACATTTACACCATTTCGAAGATGGATATGATGAATAAGTACCATTTCTTATATGAGTAAGACATAGTTCGACAATAGTTATGCCAAGTAAAAAAATGATATGTACCAAGATTACATAGGATACTCCAAAAGAGTACCATATATATGTTTCTTGTCCAATAAGATTGACATGTATCTAATTATAATTAATATTCAAGAGTATGAATTATTATTAATAAGAGTATTAGTCGATCGTTTTCCCAAAAAACACATCTTGAAATGGAATTCTTATATCACATCATATATATATATGGCCATGTATGAACAATTTGTATAAAGTGACCACTAATGGTTTTAGAATAATGAGAAGTTATATTTGGAAAAATTATTGGATGTGATAAGTTAGGCCATCTGGGTTTAATGTACCCACTATAAAAAAAAATTAAACTTTTATTTGATATAAAGAAATAATTAATGTGCTGGCTTTATTTCATGTCACATGTATAATATGGACTGAAAGCCAATACATGAGATTGTGATTGAACACTATTTGAATCATGTGATTTTTTATAGTTTAATTTGAAAAAAGTCAAGAGATAAGTATTGGCTTTGAGCCGTACAACTTTGTATGCAAACAAGTAATAGGTGAATAGAATATCACAATAACTTATATGTAGCCGAGCATCAGGTGACTTGAACATCACCATATATGGTGGTATATATTACATACAGGTAATTTTACTGGTAAAATAATCTCTTGATTGGAGATATCGTATGTCATCACATAAGAAATAAAATAAGAAAGAGATAACTGTACAATTCATGACTCTCCATTAATATTTATCTCTTGAAGAGAATAAAATTATAAAATATTTATCGAAAATGCATTTGAAAATTACATTATTCTCCAGAAGAGATAAAAATTTGTTGATTATGGTTCTCCTAAAGGAAAAATTTGTTACACATGAAATTATATTCTAAGTTGGTTAAGAATTTAGTGCCCCTATTTGAGATATTTTACCAACTTAGGGGGGAGAAAAACTAGAATAAGTTGGCAGAATTTTGGAATTATTACTTGATCCCCATAATTAGTAATTTGAAAAGTTTGTTATATGCCAACTTTTATTTATATGTTATCTGATGTATGTGCTTTATACCATGTTTTACCCTAGTTTTATAGCGTATATTAGCATGGTTTTGGGCTCTATGAAGCCATTTATTGCTAATAATCTCTTCTCTAGTGTGTTCGATCTATTTTAGTGAGTTTCACAGGAATACGAAGTTTCATGGATGAATCGGACGTGTTTTGGATGGTTATAGAAGAGGTTAGTGAGAGAATATGAAGATTCCCCCCTTGCCCTGTTGGGCATAGCTTGCCCGGTCAAACTAGGGGAAGAAGGAAAAGCTAGTTGCGAAGTATGTGTTGTAGCCCCTATGTGCCCGGTCCGGCATAGCTTGCCCGGCGAGACCGGGCGTTGAAGAGCAGGAATTCCACAAACTTGCCATTGGAGCTGCTATGCGAGCCCGATCGGGAGTGGCTTGCCCGGTTGGACCGAGCACAGGACGAAAGAAGAACAACGAAGAATAGGCGTCACCGTACTCTGCCCGCCCGATCGGGAAGACCTTGCCCGGTTGGACCGGGCACTGTTTTGCGGAAACCGTTTTACTTAATTTCGAAATTCTATCTTTTTAGGGGTATGAATACCCTTTGTAATCACATTTAGAAGATAGATTATTATATCCTCTAGTATTAGTTTTACCTTAAAACCCTAGTTTACTCTCTCTAGCATTTAATTTCTACTCTTA